GTTTATAAATATTCCTAACCACACAAAATTGTACCTGATTAACACTCAACCACAAAACCAAATTTTTAAAAAATGCCATGAATTTAGGTATTCTGTTTGACTGAATTTACATTATACTGCAAAGTTTTCCTATTATTAGTTGATACAATTTAAAAAACAAAATCTAAGGTATAAAACATCTTGCTGTTACACATTATATATATATTTTTTTTTTCAGCATGTGATTTCAGGACTTTGTAAATCAACATTGAGATGAGCTATGGACTCAGAGTACCAATTAAGTGACTAGGACAAAAAGTTCATAGATTAGATAATATAAGAAAATTCACTTTTATCTGAATGTGAGTATATCTTGTCACAAACATTGGGATTGACGTAACACTATCACTGCCAAGAGTCTGGATGTCCTCATTATAAATGTAGCAACATCAAGCGATGCTGTGGCTGTCTCTGCTATTTATTTTATGCACAAATTTATTCATGTTGGAAACTCTCTTTCTATGCCAGAGATCTTTCTCTAAAGTATACTGAAGGGTCTCTGCAAAAGGGCATGGAGGCAGCATGCTCTGACCTCCTCTAACTTCATGAAGAGGAGAGAGAACTGCCATCAGCAGCCCAAGGATTATTGCTATGAGCCCAGACATGCCATCATCCTCCAAGCTTTTCACCAATTCTGACACTAACCGTCCCTCCCAAGGCACTCATTACTTCTTTGTTAGGTTCCATAATTCGTTGCAATGGCCACACAGAACTCCTAGACAATATGCATGATTATAGGGTTTATTAGGGAAGCAACAGGTTACAGTTGAGGTTCAGGAAGACTCAGGATACAATTCTTCAATCAGGACAGCTTCCCTTCAGCCACTCCTGTAGGTGTGCCTCTCTTTGGCCTTTGGCCTCTAGGCCTGGCCTCTACTCTGCTCAGGTAAGTGTTGAAAGCTCCTTTAGTTCTGCCAATAAGTGCATCTAGGTGCACTTCACTCCCCCAGTGAGGCTCCTGCCCAAGGGCACTCAGCTTTCTTGCTCCATGGGTCTACAAACCCATTGTTCTGTCTGTGCCAGTCTCTCAGTACTGTTGCCTCTGCTGCCACCATCTCTCTGATACTACTCTGTCATCTCTCTGTCATATCTCTGCCACTGCCTCAGCACAGGGATCTTGAGTCCAAGGACATGCTCCACTCCCAGCTTCCCTCTCTTGATGACAGTGAGATTCCTCCCCTTCTGCCTTCAGGATGGCTCATTTTCACCCTAGTGAGATGAGGAACTGAACAATTCTCACATTAGGGTTCCATATACCTTATTTGTACAGTCCCACCCCCATAAAGGTGCTATGTATATTATTTACATTACTAATAAGCTATCCAATATGCTTGGTGGGCCACAAAACACCTCACATTTACATAGTTCCATGCAATCATTTGGTGGGTCACAAAGACCATGGCTAGAAGAGTCATAAGGAACTCTGGTTGTGCTCTGGTTAAAGGATTGGGCTGCTAAGGAGTTCCAGTAAGATGGCAGAATAGGCAGAAGACTGCACGGACCCTCTTCAACAAAGAAAAGGGGAACAAATTAACACAGATACAGAAGATAATCCTGGACCCCTGAGCCTTGAAGGGAAGGATATAGAAGTGGACTAAACTCCATCTAGCAAAATTTGCATGAAAATACCAAAAAAGGAGACATAAGTAGCTGCGGTTTGGCAGTGATGCTGATGGCACAGAGAGCTTGGATATTGCCTAGTGATGGTAGGACCTACGAATTAACCTAAAAATCAGTCCTGCTTGCCAGGGACTGCATCAAGGACTTCTCTGGTGGCTGGGAAATAAAAGGGGAGGCAGCAAAGAGGACTGCAGGCTGAGCTGTGGACTTTTGTCTGACCAGACGGTGCAGCCATTTTGAATGCTTACAAGTGGCTTGACTATTTTGGATATATAAAGCAAAAGCATTCTCCCAGATTCCACGGGCTTAAGAACAGGATCCACTTGCCAGTAACCCCAAGGACATTCTGGACCTGGACGACTGGAAGGAGTGGAAGACAGCAACAGTTCATCCCCATATGACAGAACTACACCCACACCTCCTCAATTTCACTTACTGAGGGAGAGCCACTGCTTCCTTCTCCACCAATGGGCCAGCAATAAAAAAACCACCAAGAAGAGCCTGAATCACCCTTGGCTGCTCTTCACAAACAGTTAATAGTAACTAAACACAACAACACCATGATGTCTCAGAGACAACAGACCATCACAGTCCACACAAAGAAGCAAGATAAAGTGGTAGAAACAAGGTAGCAGGACACAGACCCAGAACACATCCCTGGGGAAGAAGCAGCATTGGAACTCTCTGATAAGGAATTCAAAAGAATTATCTTTAGGTATCTTCAAAGGATTGAGAGACAGACTAAAGAAAACACAGA